ATAAGTTCAGTCTCACACCTGCCCAGACTGGACCTACACTGTCAGGTCCAGGCTCCTGAGCTGGAGGGCTCTGAGGAAACTCATAGGACCAAAGGCAAACTACCCGGTGCCCCTGAGGAGCAGTCAGTCAAGGGCTCCCCTTCACAACCAGTCAATAAGGAACCACCTGGTCAGTGCTAGTGAGGTAATCTGCCCGGTAGAACCTGAAAAAAAGTTACTTTGCTGTAACCAGTTTTTGCCTATTTAACTTCCTGCTTCCCGGTCCCTTCTGCAACTCCAAGCTCCTTTCTATTTATTTATTTATACATAAACTAGGGTACAGGCCAGAGGTACGAGGGGTGAAAGGATTCACTAGAGACAGGGAAGTGACCCACAAGGCATGGCAGACTTCTTTTGACCCACCCATGTTCCCCTCAGCAGAGTATTTCAGTCAGTCCACCTGTTCTGCTCCCCACTCTGTCTCTAATGAATCCTCACTCCTCGTACCTCCAGCCTATACCCCAGTTTATGTATAAATAAATAAATAAATAAATATGAAAAAAAGAAAGGAGTTTGGAATTGCAAAGGGGACCAGGAAGCAGGAAGTTAAATAGGCAAAAACTGGTTACAGCAAAGTAACTTTTTTTCAGGTTCTACCGGGCAGATTACCTCACTAGCACTGACCAAGTGGTTCCTTATTGACTGGTTGTGAAGGGGAGCCCTTGACTGACTGCTCCTCAGGGGCACCGGGTAGTTTGCCTTTGGTCCTATGAGTTTCCTCAGAGCCCTCCAGCTCAGGAGCCTGGACCTGACAGTGTAGGTCCAGTCTGGGCAGGTGTGAGACTGAACTTATGCTGCAGATAAGTTCATAGTGCTGCACTTTAACCCATTGCACCACTAGGGAGGGCCCCTCTAAGCTCCTTTCTGTTTGCTAGATGGGGTCTGTGCCCATCCCTGCAGCTGGGGAGCTGACCCACATGGCATGGCAGACCTCCTCTGACCCGCTGCTCCCCTCAGCAGTGTACTTTGTCCATCTGCCTGTTCTGCTCCCCACTGTCTCTGGTGAGTCCTCTCACTACCCCTGCACCTCTGGCCTGTACTCCATGGGTGCCAATCAACTAAAAGAACCAATCAAGTTTGAAAGGAGATTATTTAAGCCATAGTCCAGTGTGCTTGCTGTGGGGTGTGCCTATGGAGTTTGGAAGAGAACTTGAAGAGGAAGTTAAAGAGGCAGTCAGATTCATCCAGAAAACCTTCACTGAGCTGTACCACTGAACCCTGTCCTTCGCACCACCCCTTCACAGACCTGACCTTTGACTCTGCCTCTAAAATTCACTTGCTGAATGACACCGTTGGTCTTATGCTGGGTGTCCCTTAAAAAGCTGGTTGCTATTGGTTATACCCAGTATGTCAGAGTTATAACATAGGTCCCTGCCTCAGACACATCTGCCCGAACCCTGATGCTGTTGCCTTTGCTGTAGTCTGGTCCAGTGCTGCCTGGCCCAGATTTCACATTGCTGCTGCTGACTGCTGTGGTGCCACGTCTGCTGAGAACTTGTGACCTTCAAACCACTGCTACTGCCTCCAGACATGCCTCTCTGTCCTTTCTGCCAACTTTTTCTCTCTCCTTTGTAAATAAAGCCTGCTGTAGTTGAATCCTGAGCCTGAATGTCTTGCAATTGAGTACACAGATATGAGCCATAGACAATGACCTGCCCCCACCTTGGCCACTGTCCTTTGACCAGTTTGCACTGTCCAGCACTATTTCAATTGAAGATTGCCTTTATTGGAGAGGCCAAAACTTTAATTGGCTTAGTTTGCTTTCAGTTTAGTCACTCCATTATAAACCTGGAGTCTTGTTTTTAATAGAAGGAATTGGCCTTTCGATGTGTGATATTGTAATCTACAAAATATGTTTGTGTGGTAACATACATCTGAATAGGTGTGAATCTATATCTCTGATTCCTATAGTGTTGTATACCAACATTATCTCAATAAAAAAATACAATTAAAAAAACTTGTGTTGGTGAGGATGTGGAGAAAAAGGAACTCTCCTGCTGGTGGGAATGCAAATGAGTACAATCACTATTGAAAACTGTTTGGAGGTTCCTCAAACTGCTAAACATGAAGCTTCCATATGACCCAGCAATCCCACCCCTAGGTATCTACCCAAAAGACACAAAAACACTGATTCAAAAAGACACTTGTATTCCTATGTTTATTGCTGCTTTATTTACGATTGGAAAGACATGGAAACAGCCCAAATGCCCAAAAGTAAATGACTGGATTAAAAAGATGTGGTACATATACACAATGGAATATTACTCAGCAATCAAAAAAGATAAACATGTGCCTTTTGCAGCAACATGGTTGGAGCATATGCATAATGAAATAAGCCAGAAAGAAAAGGGAAAAATACTAGATGGTTTCACTCACAGCAGGAGTATAAAAGACCAGAGAAAAAATAACAAAAATAATGAACAACTATATACTGAAGACATTTTTACGGGGGTGGAGTGGGAAATGGCATCAAAAATGAGGGGGCCCAACGCCACAATAGTAAAGGCAAAGATAAATAGATGGGACTACATTAAGTTAAAGAGCTTCTGTACAGCAAAAGAGACATTACTAAAACAAACAGACAGATCACTATTGGGAAAACATTTTCTCACACAAAAGTAGCGATAAAGGACTGATCACAAAAATATATGGAGAACTGATGAAACTCAACAAAAATAAAGTAAACAACCCCATCAAAAAATGGGCAGTAGAGCTAAAAAGACACTTCTCCAAAGAGGAAATGCAGATGGCCAACAGGCATATGAAAAAATGTTCAACATCACTCATAATAAGGGAGATGCAAATTAAAACCACAGTGAGATACCACCTCACCCCAGTAAGAATGGCACATCTTCAAAAAACTAGCAACAACAAATGTTGGCGAGGATGTGGTGAAAAAAGAACTCTCCTGCACTGCTGGTGGGAATGCAAACTAGTACAACCACTATGGAAAACTGTTTGGAGGTTCCTCAAACTGCTAAACATGGAGCTTCCCTACGACCCAGCAATCCCACTCCTAGG